GATGCTAATTGTAACTTCAATTATTTTACATTTGGTACAACACGCCGCGAAAGGCTTTCATTGAAAAAACGAAGCTAACACACACGTTCTTCTCCAACACAAGGATGATCTTATATAAACAAACCATCTGCAAATCTATGGCATACAATTGTCAACAAATTAGACAATAAAGTGTCATTAAAAGCACACTACACTTGTGTGAAAGCTATAATACTTATTAAAAACATGCTGGGAGTTTTCACACATTCCCTTTTTTGGTCAAACATTTTACTATACATTCCGGCACAAAGATAGCATTAACCCATGCGTGACATTAACATTATACTCACTTTCAACAGTATAGCGACAAAAGTGTACAAGGTTTCCAGAACATCTAAAAATTGAGATAACCTTCAAAGGCAATGCTTTGCTGGCAAACTTTTTACCCCACAAACCGGCACAAACGTAGCACTAACCAATCCATCTAGTCTCGAAATTTATGCCGACAAAAGTGTACGAAGTTATAGAAAACATCTACAGACATCTAAAAATCGAAATAACTTCTTCCAGGAAAATATTTTCCTGGCGATACAGCACAAACCGGCACAAACGTAATTTGTGGAATAAGTATCGAAGTAGTAATATATAGCCGCTACGAAATCTCACTAGATGAAAATCCCTAGAAAAGTCACTAGAATTGAGTGGTTCTGAACTGTGGTAGCGAGGTTTGCGCCTGTGCTAACGTCAAGGTCAAGGGGTTGAGGTTTGTGCTCAAGATAAAGTATCAGAGGTTATAATAATAATAATAATGCTTTTATTAATCCAGGTGATCCATTATAATAGATATAGGACATGTCAGAAATCATAAGTATAATTTAATGTAACTATGATATTGATAAACATAATATATTATGAGTACTTAATTTAATTTACTTAATACCTAAATTATCGCTAATAAACTCTTCCAGGGAATAGTAGGCTTTGAGAACTAGGATTTGTTTTATCGTCTTGACAAATTTATGATACAGTAATTGTCTTACGGCGGGCGGGAGTTTATTGAACAGTGTAACGCGCATGTAAAAAGGATTCGATTCAAAAAGAGCCAATTTGTGGTTCGGGTATTTTAGGTCAAAGCCCTTTCTCGTATGATAAGAGTGGTTTTGATTTAAATGACAAAATTTGTGTGTATTCAACCGAAACAAACTTTAGTACTTCAAGTATGTATACAGGGTAATGTCAGAATTTTTTGTTTACAAATGTTGTTCTACAAGTATCACGGAAAGGAATATTAAACATACAACGTATGATTCGTTTTTGTACAATAAAGACTCTGCCTACATTTGAGGAATTTCCCCAGAATATAACGGCATAGCTTAATAATGACGCAATATGCGCGTAATAATAGGTTTTGCATACATCCTTATTTGTTATGTGAGATAGTCTCTTAAGTGCAAACAATTTGGTGCAATTTTTTGCACAGATAGGCAATGTGATCCTTCCAGTTGAGAGACATGTCAATGTAACAACCCAACAATTTAAATGCACTGACGTGTTCGATGGATTTTTCACCTGTTTGAATAGGGCGCTTTCCCTGTATTTGCTTTGCTTGGTATAAAACTGCATAAAGCAAGTTTTGGATTTATTTAGTATCAATTTAATATCATCTAAATGATTATGAACAGATCGCATGGTTTTGTTCATGTCAATTACCATGTCTGACATGTTATTCTTAGATGCTAATATTGTCAAGTCGTCAGCAACATACAGTGATCACTACTCATGACATTACCAATGCTATTTACATATAATAAAAATAGCAGGGGTCTAGTACGCTACCTTGGGCCCCTCTGTATATCCAAAATCAGAATTGCAAATTTGCAAGCGTGACGTACTGTTTCCTATTTGATAAGTATCTAATAATTTCATTGCTTTTTTCCTCATTAGACCAAGTGTCCAGTTGTCACAAGTATTCTAATGATCAACTAGTCAAAAGCCTTAGTAAGATCGATAAAAACAGCTGTTACTTATTTCCATAGTCAAGATTTTTGTAGACAAAATCCAGCACTGAGGCTAGCCCAGTAATGGTAGAGTGGTTGGACCGAAACCCATGTGGTTTGCCGATAATAATTCATTATTATTTACGAATTCGATAATTTCGTTTCGCAATTAACTTTTCAAGTATTTTGGAAAATATTGCGTCCGAGCTAAAGTAAGTCGGTTTGTGCCTGACGGTTCTTGTCGATGGTAGTGTACGGCCGATTCTAAATCTCACTAGATGAAAATCCCCTAGAAAAGGCACTAGAATTGAGTGGTTCTGAACTGTGCTAGCGAGGTTTGCGCCTGTGCTAACGTCAAGGTCAAGGGGTTGAGGTTTGTGCTCAAGATAAAGTATCAGAGGTTTGCGTCCGAGCTAAAGTAAGTCGGTTTGTGCCTGACGGTTCTTGTCGATGGTAGTGTACGGCCGATTCTAAATCTCACTAGATGAAAATCCCCTAGAAAAGTCACTAGAATTGAGTGGTTCTGAACTGTGGTAGCGAGGTTTGCGCCTGTGCTAATGTCAGGGGGGTCGAGGTTTGCGCTCAAGATAAAGTATCGGAGGTTTGCGCCTGTGCTAAAGTTAAGGTCAAGGGGGTCGAGGTTTGCGCTCGAGATAAAGTATCGGAGGTTTGCGTCCGAGCTAAAGTAATTTGGTTTGCGCCTGAGTCGAGAGTAATATATGACCGATTCTAAATCTCACTAGATGAAAATCCCTAGAAAAGTCACTAGAATTGAGTGGTTCTGAACTGTGGTAGCGAGGTTTGCGCCTGTGCTAACGTCAAGGGGGTCGAGGTTTGCGCTCCAGATAAAGTATCGGAGGTTTGCGTCCGAGCTAAAGTAATTTGGTTTGCGCCTGAGTCGAGGGGTATTGTCGATGGCAGTGTACGGGTGATTCTAAATCACACTAAAATCCCCCTAGAAAAGTCACTAGGATTGAGTGGTTCTGAACTGCGCTAGCGAGGTTTGCACCTGTGCTAACGTCAATGTCAAGGAGTCGAGGTTTGTGCTCGATATAAAGTATCGGAGGTTTGCGTCCGAGCTATTTGGGCTGGAGGTTTGTTGTCAGGTGACGGTGAAGTTTCAAGGTCGTTTAAGGCAATTTGATCGTGGTGGTTTACTTCCGGGGTAGGATAATTTGATCGGGGCCTTCAAGTAACTAGGTTTGTATATGTGCTGCGTGGGTTCGAATGTGTTGCTTGTACGGTTCTGGACTGGGGTTTGTAAAACTAGTAAAGCTACTCTCAATAATGTAGGACTGAAATCACACTAAGTTGCTTTCGGGGTTTGCGTCCGGGCTAACAATTCTATCTCCTGTCAATCACCGTGCAGAAATCTATTACTGTAGATTTCAAGGCCACACTTTGGAAATATAAGGTGAGCTGCAGGGCGTTTTTTCATTCAGTCCGATAGTGCTTTCCAAACAGTTAAAAAATGGATCTTAATGCGCTCAACAATGAAACATTCTGTAAAGCATTTAAGAACGTTAAGGATATGGAAGTGGAGGAAAAGTTTAAAATTCTGAATATCGATATCATAAACACAAAGTATGGTGACCGAATAGTACTGGAAACAGAAAATTATAAATGCGTACTACCACTGCGGTTCTACGAGTATTTCAAAGTAGGTAATCGGCTGAGCGAGTTCCAAGAATCCTTGAAGACAAACGAGGTGTTCATTACAAGTGCAGGACCGTCAGGAAAGACCACAAACTTAAAATTTATGTAAACATTAGCTATTTTTGAAAAAAGATTATGTAAATAGTGTTGTAAATAAAACCATTAGACTACAAATAATCGTGTTTCATTAAGAAAAGAAAAAATGCCATCTCTGGTCATCCTTTGAATTCCATCCCGCCTCTTGTGTTGAAATATGTAGTTTGCGCTGCAATCCCCTCGAAGGTGTAGGTTGCGAATATCCCTTGGATCGTTAAATGGGCTCCAACCACAACGTACCTTTGGTGCGGAAAAACGACGAAGGGCATCGAGAGAGATTCAAGTTGTTTTGCGTCCCTGTAAGCAATAATTCGCCCGTTACGATAAAGTTTCAACCATGGGCTCCACCTGAGCTGTTGGTAGTGGAGGCAGTGTAGGTGATCTCATCGTTTCCAGCAATTTGAGGGATTATTTTCAACTTTAAAAAAGAAAATTGGAGAATGAAAAAAAATCGTTTATTGAAGGTACTAACCCACCAGGCAAACAGAAAATCTGTAGCAAATCCTCCTTCTAACCGCGCTACGGATGTGTGTCCACTAAATTTTCTGTTCTGTAAAAACAAGAAAACAATTACTTTTAACGTAGTATCTACATGCCCCAACTCAAAAGGTATCAGAGTAATGTTGTATACTTACACAATCGTGGGGCGAATTGATTGTGATGACACGGGCATCTATTTCAATGGAATCCCATTTTGATACGAATTTACCTAAGAGACACCGCGTTGTTTACCACAGCGTTTATTTCTGGAGCCAACGCCAACGTGTCGTTGATAGCCGTTGTTGATCGACAGGTGGCTTTAGAAATGTTTGTTGCGAAATTTTCGCGCCCGATGCTCGAAACGTTGAGAATTTTCGTGATGTCATATTGTGTGTGACTCGCGCGCGCACTTTACGTTTAACTATAGTAAATAGGAGGCAAATTGCGATCGTAGCGGAAAACTAAAGACGGAACGTGTAACGAGTGAGAAAACGATACATTCTTTGTTTTAGATCTGAAATGCATACTCCCATTTCCAGGAATAACGGTCGGAAACAAGGGCGCTTTGTTTTTTTGAAAACGCCTTACGCGGTAAAATACGTCAAGGAAGTCACCTATTTATTCTTTAGGATATCTAGGTAAGTAGTTTTGGTTAAAATCAAATAAAACATGTCTCGTTAGGGTAATTAATATTGGACGTACCTACTAGCATTTCGTAATATATATTCCTCATTAGAAATAGTGGTTTCGGAGAACTAGAATACAGTTTCGCATTTTGCGGTAGCCCTTCATACGAAATAAATTTTAAATTGGTTTTTTTTTTTCGTAATACCTATCTGTCTATAAAGCGCAGTTGGCCAGTTAGCTGTTAGCGGAACATCAAAAAACAATGACAGGATTTTGCGAGTCGTTTGTTTTTTGTCAAAAAGTTGGAAGAGTAATTTTTTCCCCATCACCTTTTAATTAATCATTACTTCGCGAGAATGCTTGCAATAGTTAAGGCAGTAAAGAAATGCAGCAGCAGCAGTTAGATAAGCACCTTTTCCATTAGCGTTTAGTGGGGGCATTTGCCTATATATACGTAGGTACTTATGCACCTACATCGCGTTTTCCTTGTTCTTGTATAAAGGGCACTACATTGCTCGGGGGAAAATTTCCAAAAAGCAAGGATATAATTTACGTGTGGCTGTAATTGGTTTCCACGAATTGCTTATCATTGAGAATCTATTTTGTAGACATACAACTACGTATGGAACTAAATAAGAGTAGGTACGTATAAGAGGGTAAATACGAATATTAGTAAATCTTCATTTACAGTAGGTAAACCGGCAAGTTGCGCTATAGGTATAATTGGTAAATTAGAAAAGTATACCAAAGAAAAATTGTATAGCGCGCTTGCACTTTGGAATCTAAATCGAATACATTCCCCCCCGGACCCTGCAGGTGTTGAAACAAAGACGTCTGTTGCAAGCATCATGTAGCAGCTCATCCCTCTTCTCTCCGCTAAAGACACTGGTTGAAATTTTCCATTAGTTCATTCGCGTCTCTCTTCTTACATACGTCATGGCGAAAAAGTACCCAAACCTTACAACCAAAAACCGGAAATGCAAAGGAAGAGTTTACAAAAAAAACGGCAACCAAATTAACAACAACAGTCCTTAACTAAAATAATGCGAGGACTGCAGAAAAACGCAGTGGCAGTGCACCCCCGGCGACCTCCCCGCTTCCCCCCGGTATTATACGAAGGACGACGATAATTTGAATCTAATAATTAAAAAATTTGGTCAACTATTGCGGAAGTAGGTACAAACTGTTTTATATTTCTCTCCCACCCCTACTATTTTTGCGCACGCATGTTAAAAATAATAACTTGTTTACAGTAAATATGGGGGAACATTTCGAGTAGGGTCATAGCACAGCTGATAGAATGGAGTTGCTGCTGCATATTTTCTTTTTGCATAGCTTTATCACTTTGGGATACCAGCACCATCGCATGCCTTAAATTAACTTCAATTAATATCTACTCAGGTGGTGTGGAACCAATCCTACGAATGTACCGTAAGTTTTTGTGGAAATATTTTGTAGAACCGTAACCGATGATTGATTACAGTCACACAACCACATCAACAACCCTCGAGCGGCAAAGGTCAAGAAGACCTAATGAAAAGCGTCAGCCTACTTTTCGGCTCTGGAAGCGACCGACCTGTAAGGAACTGGCGCACAAGACCTACGGGCGGGCCTAAAAAATATGGATACCGCTGCAAACTGGTGGATGCGCAAACCGTCGACAAAACAACTGGACTCTTCCAAAAGAGAGGCGCTTGGAAAAAAGGATTTTCAATTTGTTGAAGAATTTCTTAAGTTCACTTTTAAAATATATTTATATTGAAAGATGTAAATTAATAGCTTTGTTATGCAACCCAGAATGCAGAAGCGAGCTAGTATGGTTGCAACACTGCATCCGACATTTCGCGAAGATGCAGTTAATGCAACTAAACACAGTATCATACTTTTCCGAATGCAGAATGGGACTGTCACTAGTGTGGTTGCATAATCACAGTTGCATCCGAGCATATATTGTGCGTATGTTCTATCCATGATTTCATAAATATTTTAAGGTGGATAACCGACTTCAATAACTCCTTGCCCCCTACAAATAAGTCTTCATGAGTGCTGATAGGATGGCGCAGAAATTTAGCATGAAGAAAAAAAAGGATGTGCATGAATTATTTAAAAAATAAACTGTATATAAGAAAGCTCTCTTAACGGCGCTCCCCCCTATAACATTTCCTATAATAGCAAAACAATTTCTTACCCCCCTAAGATAAACATTCCCAAAAGTAGTAGATTACATACCGAGGTGGGAAGTGGTTCATTACCTACGCCGAGAGGCTTTGGGCAATTATTTTGAGGAATATAATATGAGGTACCCGTGACATCCACGCCTGTCGGTCAATGAATTATTTTTATTTGTTACTCAGTTGTAAACGTTGATTAACAAGACAAAACGCAAACGGGTAAACGTCATCTTTAAACGCTACTGACTTGTAAAACTGACAGCTGACGTGTAAAAATTTTACAAGTTAGTAATCTAGTAATTGCATTGGCCAGAATTAATGCGAAGTCTCGGTTACATGGATAATATGATATTTTAGAAATTTCTTCGAGATCAATTTAAGAACTAATTATTTACGTTTACCAATGAGTAACAAATAAAATATTGTACATTATACGCCAGGTAATAGTTTTTACTGGCTCTAGGAGATGACAGGCTCGCCTGACGGCTCGCCAGTCAACTTCTCCTATCGCCAGTAAAAACTCACTTACCTGGCTAATAATGTAAAATACTATTACATTACAGTATACATATAAGCAAAAGTACCTATACCTCGTTTTGGTCTAAGATTTTGGTATTCAACGTTACAGATTCTATTTTCCCCTAGACACTACAAAACTAATTAGAATTACGGTTGGGGGCCTTTTCGGTAATGTGCTTGGCGTTTGAAATTCGCACCTTTGTAAATCGTATCGACGTAGCAGTGGAGTCATGCTATTTAGAGAACTGGAAACGGAAGAGGTGACAGGTGAATAGATTGAGGCTGTGTATATTTATGAGATCCTCATTTTTGGCAGTTGTAATAATTCCACCACCGCTGCCGAGGGCTCCTTTCTGCGTAAGAGGAACCCGCGCTACCCGAATTTGTTTGCCGTTGATACAATTCCTTTCGGAATAACTGAGGCAGTTCACATATAACAAGCGCCAATCATCGCAGTCAACCACTTTCAAGGTTACGGGTTGGAAATATAAGCTATATCGATGCTTTCAATCAGTACAGTAGTGCTAGTAGTCCAGTAGTACCTATAGTGCTCGCAACAGTTGGTGAATCAATAGCAGAAAATGGTTATTGCGATTGACGTTCAAGGATTTAAATCATCCACAACGACATTTACGCCAAAGGAGTTGGCGGTATTTAATGGGCACCAAGTTGCACATTTTGTGTTCAAACCTCCATTTTCATTTAGCAGCTTAGATGTGAACTACCAGAGACAAGCAATCTGGCTGATGCACAACCACCATTGTATTAAATGGGAAGAAGGACATACACCGCCCCACTTATTTCCGATTATATACATTGCCGGACTAGATATACCAATGGAAGGCTATATATTTGAACAGGAAAGGAGAAGGCAGAAATTTATACGAAAAAACTTATCGCAGGATTAGTCGAAATCAAAACGAGGGAACCTGCATTACCTAAATTGGAAGCCAGCTGTTTATATCATTCCTATCCAAAATGTCATTGTGCATTGGCAAACGTGTATTACATACATAACAATTATACAATGTCGTAATTGTTTAGTAAATAAAGCGATCAAAGTTTAACATTTATTCTTTCTCTTAATACCCTATAAATAAGGATGCCTATGTGCAAAACGATCGTTTCAGAAAAGGTTTCGATCACTATGTATAATACCTACCGTGAAAACGTGCTTATTTTTCAGTTGAAAAAACACGGTTATCAAGTACCTATACCTACAGCTTTCAAAATAAACAGATAAACAGGTAAACAGATAAACAGGTAAACGGATAAACAGGTAAACAATATCTGTTTTTTTAAATAAAGCTGTTTCTGTTATAGCTGTTTATCTGTTTACCTGTTCAGTTGTTTACTAGTTTATCTGTTTACCAGTTTATACGTTTGGCCTTCTGTAAAAATAGCTATGTTTATCCTACTCAATTTAAGAAGCATGTATGTCTTAACGTCAATTATTTGCATTCGTTTTCCTAGCAGCTGAACAGCTGAACAGCTATAACAGCTGAATAGCTATAACAGCTGAATAGCTATAACAGCTGAACAGCTATAACAGCCGAACAGCTATAACAGCTTTATTGGGGAACAGACCCTGTTCCAGTTGATCTGTTTTTTGATATCTGTTTACCTGTTCCGTTGATCATGGATAATAAAGAGATGGCTTTGAAACGACGAATAGTTCAGGCGCGTAAAACGATACAGCAAAAGTACGATCGTCTCAAAGCGGATCGTTTTATTTTACAACTTTTATCGCAGATTTAAGAGCAAATAGTGTAAATAATGTAATTAGTAGTAGTATGTATAAGGATAGTTCGTATGTCATTAACGATGCTATGTGCACAGTGGCAGAATACGCAAACTTTAATGCGCTGCAAATATTTATAAATTGATGTTTGCCAAGAGTCGAATGTTAGGTATAATTTTAGTCCACGGCAAGATGCTCACCATTGGAAAATCTACGAGTGGCTATTGAAAAATATAAGAACCGGTACACAAGATCCTAACGCTCTCCTGGGTTGGAGGTGTGGTCCAGATAGCAGCATATGGCCCTCGCCGCTGCTGAACGATTACCATAAAACGTACGATATTCTTGTTAGCGTTACTACTACTACTAGAAAAAATGAAAAATATGTTGTATGGTAATTGGAAGGAAAAATAAAAAAAGATCAAAAAAGCTTTTGTTTTTTTCTATTTATTAATTTACAGCGAAAATTACAATACGATATTATCATTTTCTATCCAAGATTTTTCGTCCAGTCCCCACCACTAGACGTACACTTTATCTTTCTTACGTCGCAGCACCTTCTCCACCAAATAGATATCGGAATACTTAGCTTTTTGCAGTTCCTGCTCATAAAATCCTCCCATTATCGGCTTTCCTTTCATGTCTTCCAGCAAGTACGTCACCGGATTGGTTATTTACACTTTTGCAATTTTAAACAGTTCACTGGACCAGTTCGGAGTATATCCCTTGGCGAACACACTCTTGTGCTTACTAATTCGAACTACATCGCCAACATTAAAACGATGTCTCTTGTTGAAGAGCTTGATGTGGCTGTAGGCCTTCAGCTGTGTATCGGCCTTTACTTCGATCGGCTTCATCCCCGTTGTTCGATGTTTACGATTATTATACTCGCTCGTGATTGATTCAATTGCATCAATCCATACATATTTTCCACGTAGACTAAACTGACGGTATAAATAATTTTTGATTGTCCTAATTGTTCTTTCGGCTATGGCAGCCTTTTTTGTACTGTACGTGGAATAGTGATTAATATGTTCTCGCGCCATCAATTTGTCAAATGATTTGTTATAGAATTCCTTCCCCGCATCGGACTGTAGATTTTTCGGTCTACGTCTTGTAGTTTTGAAAATATCCTGTATGGCTTTTGTCACCTCCTCACCCGTTTTAGTCTTCAGTCCTCTCGTCCACAGATATTTTGAGAAACAATCGATAACTACCAGTATGTATTTGTAGCCTTTATTCTGTTTAGCGTAAGGTATAATTTGCTCGTATTACCACGAATCTGTTCGGTGGGGTCGTAATTGCGCCGTGCGACATGAGTTGCTATTATTATCTGCTTATAGTTACTCTATCCTGCTTGGATACCAGCGATTCATCCGGTTCATTCATGATGATAAGTTTCTTATAGCCCTGCAGTACCTTTGTACCGGTTCCCGTTAATGACCAAACCTTCGTCATCTATCGTCACCTCCGTCTTGCCCATTCTCCACTTATCCGTTTCGACATTATAATGAATTCCAAAAGTGGTGTCGATTGCATTGCTCGTATCTCTTATCATGCGCTCGACGTATATACGTGGTAGGTGTTTGTATTGTTCAAAAAAGGCTTGCGAACCTTGCATATCAAGTAATGAAGTAGATGATTCTGATACAATAGAGGACTCTTCTTCTTCTTCCTCCGGTTGATGCTCTCCTATCACTGTACTCTGTAGAAATGATGGCGGCTGTCTCAATGATGGAGTAGCCGTGGGGTGAAAAGGTCTAACCATAGGACTAATATCAGTTGGCGGATAATTTTGAAAGTAGGGAAGTCTAGTCAGCGGACTGATCTCGGTAAGGGAAGAGGGCCTTCGTCTCACTCGCGATTAATAAGGTATCGCAGGAGTCGTACGTTGTTGTGGTGACTTTCTTTTTGCAGGAGATTGACGTTTTTTGGGAGGTGATGTAAATACTTCGTCCTCTGATGGCTCCTCCTTTTTCGTTTCCATAACCGATGATAGCAGCGGTTCGATTTTCTTTACTATCTGAGCTAGCGGTTGAATTAGCGGTTTATACGTTCGTACAAATTCCACTTGTTTAATAAAACGATCCGCTTTGAGACGATCGTACTTTTGCTGTATCGTTTTACGCGCCTGAACTATTCGTCGTTTCAAAGCCATCTCTTTATTATCCATGATCAACGGAACAGGTAAACAGATATCAAAAAACAGATCAACTGGAACAGGGTCTGTTCACCAATAAAGCTGTTATAGCTGTTCGGCTGTTATAGCTGTTCAGCTGTTATAGCTATTCAGCTGTTATAGCTGTTCAGCTGTTCAGCTGCTAGGAAAACGAATGCAAATAATTGACGTTAAGACATACATGCTTCTTAAATTGAGTAGGATAAACATAGCTATTTTTACAGAAGGCCAAACGTATAAACTGGTAAACAGATAAACTAGTAAACAACTGAACAGGTAAACAGATAAACAGCTATAACAGAAACAGCTTTATTTAAAAAAACAGATATTGTTTACCTGTTTATCCGTTTACCTGTTTATCTGTTTACCTGTTTATCTGTTTATTTTGAAAGCTGTAGGTATAGGTACTTGATAACCGTGTTTTTTCAACTGAAAAATAAGCACGTTTTCACGGTAGGTATTATACATAGTGATCGAAACCTTTTCTGAAACGATCGTTTTGCACATAGGCATCCTTAT